CCCCCCAACCCAACTAATAATAACATAAAAATAATACAAACAAACATGCCATACACAAAGATAAACACACACAATGGCCCTGACCATATTGGGAGTATCTTCCAATTGTGTTGTTTCCCCCTGAGACCTGATTGTCACCAGTTGTGTTCCCAGAGAAGCCATTTGTCTGCACGTTAATGATGATAGCTGTGAAGAAAACAAACAAAAAGTTTGCAAAATCAACGAAATAGGCGAGAGTGTATAGTGTTATAGGTTCAACACCCCTTGCAACACTGTCAGGTTATTCGAGAGGTTGAACCTCCGAATCGAACGCCCATCTCTGAAAAGACAAAGCCAAATAGCAAAGTAATGTCTTGCCGAGCCTCGAATCCCTGAACCTGCAATCTCACGATCGGGCGACTTAACTACTAGACCTAAGAGTACAGACGACATAACAACATGTTTGCATATCTATCTATTTGTCTATTTTATTTTAAAAAATTGTAAGCGTTTTACCGCGCTCGCAACTGCATAAGGTCATATGAGCGCGCGGGACACATTAAACTTTTTACGTTGGTGGGACATTTTGAATTTTGCCCTCGGTGGCAGCCGAAGCCTACTCTTATCGATTTTAAACTACCAATCGATCTTTAACGTTCCCCACTTGCACACAGGCCCTCCGAGATTTTTCGCCCTTGTCCGAGAAGGCTAGGTATAGATCTTTCCTAACAGAAGATCAAGGGTGTGGCTGAAAGACAGCAGTAAGAAGGGGTCAAGGAGTAGCAGAAAAGGGCTGCAGAAAGAGTCAGGCGCCCAGAAGAGGGGACAAAGGAGGTGAGGGGGTGGGGGGCAGAAAGAGGGGACGAAAACAGACGACAGAATATAACTACAAGAGGTGAAAGGAGACCATTTTAGAGAAAAGGATTTTTCGGTCGCTACCCAGATTCGAACCCGGGACCTTTGAGTGAGAGGCTAACACATTAACCTCTAGTCCACGAGAGCCCCCCTATCTATCCGTGCAGTTATATATTATTATATATTATTATTATTATACAAATACTAAGGGCATTAATCACATTCAATCCCTTGCTAATAAAGAAAGGAAAAAATCTGCATTCAAACCAGTGATTACCTTCTAAGTCAACGGTTAGCTCAAATAATTCTGTTGTGCTTTCTCCCACTCCGTAACCTACTTTCACTGTGACAGACTGGAACACATTGCTGGCAGGCGTGTAAATTAGATTTAAGACAGCATAACCCCCTAGATGGAGGGATGTGAGGGGAACAGTGAAGTGTCTTGAGAACTGGGTGTAGTGGGATTTCGATAAGATGTTGTCTCCCAAATCTGGAGGGAAGTTGTCATTGATCAGTTGTTCCCTCAGTTTGGATTTCAATCTGGAAAAGAAGGGAGGGAAAAGAAATAAAATGTTTCAGACATGGATGGGGAAGTATCTTGTAAGACAAAGCACAATCGTTTTTGTTTACAAAGAGATCAATACGTTAAACATATCCATAGCACATTTCTGCTTTAAACAATTTTAAAATTGAAACAATCACAAAGATTATAATATATGCAGAAAAAAGGTTCTGCAAGTCCTGTGTCGGACTGCAAGATACTCACTCCCGCTCTATGTTCCTTGAATAACTACTAGAAAAAGAACTAGTGAGACCATTTTCTTTCAGAGAATCTCTTATAATGAAAAATACTATTCTTAATTTTTATTTGCCTGCTTTCCTTTTTCATAGTTATTAACAGAATTAGGTTGGGTTTCAAAGTTACTAACAGGAGCTTCACAATGTTTTAAACTCCAAAAGATGAGTAATGCCAAGTTACTCCTTGTGCACAAACCATCTAATTCTGAATTTCCCCTGATAGTTTTATGCTTTAACCAGTCAGGAAACCCGACTTTACACAATGACTTGTTATATCTCTGATGCAAACAGCCAAATTAATGATCAAAGCATATGTTCTACAACTAGGTTCCAGATGATCAATATTTTATTCTGTCGTAAAACAGATGGTTTATGCCCGAGGACATTTATAAAAAGAGAATAATCACCTCTCAAATTTAGGATCAAGGCATTCCAGAATGCTAGAGATTTTGGTTGTAGCATACGCCTTCATGTTCTCCAGTCTCGTTGAATAGACAATATTCACAAGTGAGGATAATATAGTTTCATCCTCTGTAAGGATTAGAACATCAAATACAGCAGCCCGAAGAGCCATCTGCTTGCTGTCATCCTCAAGAATCTGAACAAGTTGTGGAGAAACCAGGGAAGTCTGATCCAAAGCAGATATAGCCTGGGGATAAAAATCTTTCTGTCAATACACAAGCAATCTATTGTATGTAGGACACTACAAACAAGATAAAAAGACAGCCCCCCCCCCCCCCTCTTCCCTTTTCCTCCCGACTCTTCAATGAACACTGTGGACAGTTTTGTTTCTCAAAGATATGCATAATACTGAATATGTAATTAATATATAGAAAAATAATATCAAACAGTATCACACAACTGCTGATCACCCCTGTGAAGCATTTGTTCGAGGAGGGAGAGAGGGGGTGTCAAATGAAGAGGAACAAAAGACTATACACTTTATTGAGAGGGAAATGGTCAAAAGTAGAACTTAAAAAACAACAAAGTGTTACATTAACAACATTTTGGAAATACATGCATACAATGCATATAGCTTGGAGTAAAAGACAAGAGCATGCCATTACCCCAGAAAGTATCATGCTGAGCTGTAGATGGATGACTCATGGGTCAATCCCTGACAAGACGATTTGGGATAATTTCAAGATTGTCTACCCTTTTGAAATCTGACCCAATGGAGACTTTTTTCGCTCTAAAAACAGATTTTTAAAATTGAGATCATCTTTCCTAAATAACCCTTCCAGTGCGTTAAAGAAGGGGCATGCATAACCACATACTATATCAAATCATATCTAAAAAAAAAATGTTCAATCATCAACACTAAGATTAAAAGTTATAACACTATACCTGAACAGCTGCCCTTGAAACTGCCAAGCTCTGACCTTCACTTCCAACACAACGAAGCAAAGACGAAGACAAAGTGGTCATAAGATCATCGAGTCCGTCATACAATTCTGTCTCAACCTTGCCAATGTTTATGAGAGCCTGGAATGTTGGTCAGTAAAATGAGAGAGCTGAATATAAATGAAAATGTACTTTAAGAATTTTCATATCCTGCAATTGCTCAAGTACCAGTAAAAATGATTTTTCTCATGCTATGCAAAGTAGAAAAAATACTTCAGTTTTCTTAAACTGCTATTTATCTCTTTTTTTTATCTCCCTCTCTTCCCTTGATTCCATCTGCCTTTATACCTTGAATAAAAACAAGCTAGTTCATTTGGATCATCAAAAATTTCTAAAACTGTAAAAAGCTCCCCATAAATGAACAAATCCGCTAGATCAGTCAGCATAATTTTGGCACCCCCTGGAAGATCTCACAACAGTAAACAAAAGTCAGTCGAGATGGTATTGCCATATTAAAAGATCAAATTACAAAAAAAAGATCAAATCACCTTGCAAAGGTTGTTTGGCAAGGAACAGTAGAGAGGAAAGAAAAAAGAGTAGACAAAAAAAAACCCATGGACTGAGAACATCATTGCGTAATCAGGGAAACAATTTGAAGAGACTTAGTAACTTGCCCGCAACTTTGAACAGTAAAAAAATCTGGTGCACATTATCAAGGAGGCAGCCTTGGAACTTTATAAAGGGATGAAAGGAGAACAAGAAGAAAGAATGAAAAGACCATGGGAAGGAGATCAAGAGCAACAATGGAAATGTCAAGTCGACTAACTTGGATGGTTGTAAGAAGTTCCTCCTCTTCAACAATTCTCTTGGAAGGGTCTCTGCTCTTTGGATTGTCAGATTTGCACTTCTCTCTTAGAATTTCATTCAGATGGAAAACTGCATCATAAACAACTGAAACAGCCTGTAAAAAAAACAAAAAACTTCATAATATGAAAGCAATCATAGCAAAACAGAGGACAGTTAATAATGTTTTATATTTCTCTTTCGTAAGTTGGATTTGGAAAATTTGACAGCACGTTCAAGACTTTTTGTTAAATGTTGAAAAGAAAACATGCATTATTCTAGTAGCATTTCTCATTTTGCATAGAGTCATTCTAAAGACCAAAGA